GTATTAGGAGCAGGTGCTGTTCTATCCATGAAGGCGTATTTCCCCCAGTCACGGTTCTGGATACGCGTGGAACCACGTGCTTCATCCAGAACCATGCCCAGACAGGCACGGTTCTGGATCCATAAAGCACGGTTCTGGATACGACAGTTACGTTTAGGAACGCATCATCACCGCATGGAAACGTCCATTGATAAATTCCCGCGTTCTTTCGGACTGTTACTCCCTCTTATCGTCCGTTTGTAGGTAGTTTTTAGGGCTTGGAAACCCGATTTTTCAAAGCCAATGTTCTAGTCATTTATCTACATACTGAGTTAAGACCACACTATCCCAATGTATATTGACCCTCATGGAACAAATATTTCCAAAATTCTGACGAAAAATGGTTACTAGCTGGAAGGGCCCTGGGCTGATGTTAGAGTACCACCCAGAAATAAAGGACCCATCTCGAGTATTGTTTCTGCAGTTTAAAGTGCCTAAAGTATTAAATACTGATTTAAATGTGCTAATGTGAAGCAGTATGTGTCTATATAAAAAAAAAGATTGCCTTATTCAGAATATTTCCAGTTTTGCTGCCTTGAAATCGCATTGGATGCCTTTACTAGTAATCTCGGAACCCAGAGCCTCACCACCGCATGGCAACGTCCATTGATTTAGACTCAAGACTCAAGAATTGTTTATTGATCAATGGCAGTAAACTTGATACAAGTCACTGAATTGCAAATCAATGTACATTTCATTATTTTAAAATCGAGAGTTTATAGTATTGCATATCAATTAAGTTAAAAATTCAGAGTCATTAAGAAGTTAAAATATAGTATCATTAGAAAGACTACATAGACCACAATAATTACGCATAATAAAACCACACCACAAAAGATTAAAAATTACGAGCAGAAGAACGATTAAAAGGTAGGCCCATGTGATACAAATATTTCAAATATTCCTAATAACTGATGATTGATAAATTCCCTGCGCTCTTGCACGATCTGCATGGGGGGGGGGGGTCCCGACAACGCTCTACGCTGAATTCGGAAACTTCTCGATTACGCTTTACGATGAATTCAAAGTGGCTACAACGCACTACGTAGAATTAAAACGGCGAATACGATCTACGCAAAATGCTCCAATTACGCTCTACGTTGAATATTAGAGCGGTCCGTCTACGCTCTACGTAGAATTACAATACTCAATTATTTAGCACCGTGTCCAAAATGCTCCCTTACTTCCCCACCATTCCCTACCACAAAAAAGCAATTTTACTACTAAAATCAAAGAACCCACATATTAGAAGAAGTGGGTAAATTCGTCTTCCACTGCCTAAAAAGAAGAAGTCAAACCCAGTAAAACTAGTACCATGCATGTTGTGGAATATAGTATAATGCTAGACGTAGATATATTCTCACATACCACTTTATTTTCTTTGTTATGTTGTTTGTAACTGCAATTAGGCCTCGGGCAAGTATTTGCAATAAACTTTCTATTACATGTACTAGTAAATCGGCCGATTACGCTGTACGGAAAAGGGCATGCGGGCCCCCTCTTATCACCCGTCTGTAGGTGGTACCTTTTAATCTCGAAACCCAGAGCTCCTATTTCATCCGACTTTGGCAGCGAACAAGGTCGAACATAATCTTAATTCAGACCATCTCAGCTGGAATGCCTGAGTCAACGCGAGAAAGATCTTATCGGGAGTGTCAATGTGATGGATGCCTTCACCCCGCCAAGTCCATGTCAGCCTGCCAGACTACTTTAGAAACCCATTAAAGGATCGTGAGAAGATACATCAGGTGTTGCTTCAAGTATAAGGCCAAGTCGTATTCAGTTCGTGCGATCGTCGCAAGGCATTTTTGGGATAGTTGTGCATACGTCGTACGAAATTCGTGAGAAGATACATCAGGTGTTGCGTCAACTACTTAGTATATGGGGCCAGGTCGCACTCGTTCGTTTGTACGATCGACGCACGAATCTTGGGATAGTTGTGCATACGTCGTACGAAATTCACTATACTGGCAAACTTTCAAACAGAAATTGAAGCAAACAGAATTTTTTTCTCATGCCATTCCTTTCTCGACTGTGACGATTTACCGACTGAACAAAGCAGTTCATTGGAGCAATTTCAATGCGGCAAATAAAAAAAAAATTCTGGGTAAGAAAATTTGTCGGATACTGATATTTACTGACATTTCGTAGCGCGTTTCCATCATCATTTCACTTCAAGAAATAGTTTGAAATAGTCCCTAAACAAGCTACACATATATATATATGCGAGTAGTCCCTTTATTGCTTGGTCCCACCAAACAAAGCTAGAGACAGCCTAAGTTACGAAACAAGCCATCGTATTCCATCAGCGACTTCGCCTTTTTGCCTCACAGATATCAGTATGCCATGGTTTAGGGTTGATTCAACATACTACATTTTGAAAATGGACAAGAAAATTGACTTTGAAAATCCAAGTGTAATTGCCTTGGTGCCTTTAAGTGAGCTACGGTCTGCTACTGTAATGTCCCATGCAACAGGTGGTCTGGCTTAGCTCCGTAACGTTTACTCAACAGTTATCTACTCGACTGTTCGTCTAATAATAGTTCTTGACTCTCCGAGACTCACTCGCAAGCTGAGGATATCTTAGTTAACCCTCTATCATCAATGTGAAGAGTCGGTTCAGAGGGTTTCCTCTGATTTCCCTTCCAAACATCTTTCATTACATCCTCGCTGATTGAGAAGTTGTCTGTATATTCCCACCAGTCACGTTAGAACTGACATGAGTAGATTTACTAGCGGGATGGGTTGGAATCGTGTCAGACAAGCGGTTCTTTCGTCCGTCTAACGTTACAAAAGTACTAACCGACATTTTTGTGGAAAGACTGTGCAAAGCGTTTGACAACCGAGCAGTTTTATTCGGTTAGTCCAATGAGTAACATCAGAGAGAAATTTCCCAGATTTCTCTTTGAAACCTAAAGTAAGCTTTAAAAAAACAAAAATCTTGTTCAGTTGTACAGACAAGTGGTTCTTTGGTCCGTCTAACGTTACAAAAGTACTAACCGACATTTTTGTGGAAAGACTAACTAGAAAATAAAGCGTTTGACAAGCGAGCAAGATATTTCAGTCTTACATCTTCGCGGTTAGTTCAATAAGTAAAATCAGAAAGAAATGTGCAAGATTTTTCTTTGAAACCTAAAGTAAGCTTTAAAAAACACAAATCTTGTTCAGTTTTAGCCCGTCATTCTCTCTGGTTTAGCCGGAAAGCACCACACAAGAGGAATTAAGCTGAACAAAGCACGCAATTTGGATACATAGTCCTCTCGATTTTGCGGTTATCATTAATAAGGCCTGGTTCATTCCCTGTACTGGCGAACTTTTAAACAAGCTCTCTTGTCGGTCCTTTTTGGGCACGATTTAGAAAATTTACAGGCTGAGCATAGCAGATTATTTGGTTACCGATTCCAGTTCATTTTACTCTTAAAATCTAAGGCTTGGTTCATTCACCATACTGGCGAACTTTCAAACAGAAATTGTAGAGGTTGAATTTTTTTCTCACTACTGGTACTACCAATCCTTTCTGGGTACAATTTACTGACTGAAGAAAGCGGTTCATTTGGGTACCGATTCCTCTTAATTTAGCTGTTATAATTTAGGGCAAAGTTCATTCACTGTCTGGCCAACTTTCCAACAGATTACCTGCTGAACGAAGCAGATGATTTGGCTACCGATTTCTCTTCTTTTTGCCGTAATAATCTTAGGCCTCACTGTACTGCCAACTTTCAAACAGGATGTTATGATTCTTTTCTGGTACTATTCCTTCTTTGAGCACGATTTATCGGCTGAACAAAGCAGCTAATTTGGCTACCGATTCGTCTTAATTCTACCGTTCACTCTACTGGCCAACTTTCAAATAGAAGTTGTGGGTTCTTTTCTCGTGCTGATCTTTCCCGAGCACGATTTCGCGGCCATTCCATCTGTCAGTGGTGCTGCCGGTTGTCTGTTGACTCGGGAAACGTGCGTCAGGAATTCCTGGCGAGCGCCGGGCCGGGGGAATAGGAAATTGTAGCGTCTGAGGTGGAAAATAATCAGTGACCTGTATCTAACACCGAGCGGCGAAATAAACCAATATCTTAACAAGATACAGTTGCCGTGTGTCTTGGAGAGGGAGGGGGCAACGTCTGAACGGTCACTTATAACAGTTTTATAAAACATATCGTTTTAACCATCGGTTGTGAATACAGCACAGTGTTTTCATCATTTTTTTTTTACCTTCGCCAAGAAGGTTCTGTTTTCAGTAGCGTTTGTGTGTGTGTGTGGTTTAGCAATATAACTCAAGAAACAGTGGAAGGATTGTCATGAAACTTGGTAGGTGGGTAGGTCTTCATAAGACCTAGAAATAATTAGATTTTGGGCCCCCTGGCGGCTTTCCTAGGTACTGCAGCAGAACTTCCGGTTTTCATATCTCGTTTCGTTCCGTTAAAGCCATGTCACATTCGTCGTACGATAGTTTTACGACAGTCTCAAGACAGTCGTGTTTGCGTCGTGAAAAATTTCTTGTGACACGAGAAGGGTGTTCGTAGGATCCTATAACAACCCTTCTCAGTTGCCACAATTTCCCAATCCTTCTACCATTTAAAGGATCATCAAAATACTACGTTTCTACTAAGATCACAAAAAACTCATTATGCAGAACGTGAGATAATTCATTGTCCATTGTCATCATTGACATCAACCCCCATAAAAACGTTGGTAGCAAACGTAGTATAGTAGTAGTGACTATAACTTGATCAGGCAGTAGTTTTATGTCTCCTATTACTTTACCAGACTTTCTTTGACACTGTACAAGCAGTTAGCATTCGGGCATGGTTTTGAAAATAAATATCAAAGATTACCTTACCTTAGACCTTAGATCCTCCCGCAACCTTGTTGCATAGGTCGACTCCTTGTCTGACTTTTTATGAAAAGTATTTTTATCAAATATCAAAGATTGATGTGTACAATTTCGGCCTGTTCCATTTCAGGGAAAGGGGGAGAAGGTGACGTACTGGTTGTTGGGAGAGGACAGGAGCGGCCGCCACAACCTGCCCCCTGTGCCCCCTCCCCTGCCCCTCTCCCCTACCACCCAACTTCCAACAACCTGCGGGCAATCTCACGCAAACTCTCCCCCCTCATGGTCAACAACTTCACTCCGGTAGGTTAGTTTGGATGGTATGTATTCACGATTTTTCTTCGCTGTAATAATGTTTACCGAATGAAAACATGTTGTTTTTACTACGCTTTCTCTTTCTCCAAACCGAAAAGGTCAATGACCTGAATCAGACTATCTGTTACCATGGTAACTAGTGTTGGGTTACATCATGTTGCAATTTTATAGCAGGAGACCATATATATCAATGTGTTTGAGTAGGAATTAACAGAGCAGACCATATGCGAGGGTAAACATTATGCATTTGCTTTGCAAATGTTACCTTTCTAGTTTTGTGTTCGTTTTTGTGGATACTACTGTACCGCGCACATATCATTACCGTTAACAAATAATTCACCAACTTTATTTTTTCTGCACCTGCCGCCACCCTGAACATATAGTTTCGCGAATACCTCCATTGTTCTCAGACCGTGAACTTTTGCCTCCGTGAACATAAAGTGAACTACGTATATTTTGACATTTAATAATACTAGCTATGTACAAGTCTATCAAGTAATCTATACCAGGATTTCTATCAATTGATTCAAATCGATAAAGTTATGCATTGATTGTACAGAAATAAAATACTGCGATGCTATATATGCTTTGTGGTAAAGTTCAAAGTTTTAAACAATAGGTTCTTTCTTCCTTATTCATGTTCAGCCTTTTTTTTTTCTACAGAACGATTTGAACAAAAGCAACAGGCCTGTCCTGCGGAGGAACAGCGCGCCGGCTGTAAACATGGGCCGTCGGGCCAGCTACCATGTACCACGGCCTGGCCTCGACATCATAGAACTGTAGGGACAGCATCGGGGCAGCTAGCACGTGCTGTCACGGCCTGACAGTGACATCATAGCACTGTAGGGACAGCACCGGGATAGCTAGCACGTGCTGTCACGGCCTGACAGTGACATCATAGCACTGTAGGGACAGCACCGAGACAGCTACAGCTAGCATGTGCTGTCACGACCTGACCTTGACATCATAGAACTGTAAGAATAGCACGTGCTGTCACGACCTGACCTTGACATTGTAGGACTGTAGGAATAGCACACCTTTGGGCCACCGGGACAGCTAGCACATGCTGTCATGGTCTGTCTTCGACATCATAGAACTGTAGGTGACAGCACAGTTGTTTGAATCGTGTGAAGCTAAAACGTATATAGCAAATGAAGCGAATGTTATAATTAGAGGGTCAACATTAGCAATTGAAGATATGGTTGTGTCACCACACTATAGTCAAGTATTATTTTTCTTCTTTTCAGAAATATAGCAAAAAAACTGATATAACATTATCTAGTTCTTTTAAGATTATCTATACATGTAACTGTCGTACCGAAATTTGGCCAATTTGAGCTCAATTGATCATGATTTTGAAAAACAATAGAAGGTGCAACGTAATAGATCTAGCGATCTACGCAAAAAGACATTTTAAGGAGAAAAGAAGAAAAAACAGATACACTATCGAGAGAACTTTTACATTTCATTGTATTTTAGTATAAAACATGTGAGATGTCGAAACCGAAAATGATTACTAGTATCATGATATACAGGGATACATGTATATGCGTTGACAAGGATATTGAATAGCGTATATCTATATTTAGCGTGTATCTATTTATGGGGTACTTAAATATATAATGTGTCATATAATACTAATAAAAGTATGTCGAGAAGACGTCAGTTATGTTTCGTTGAATTGATTTATGTTATTCATACAACACTTAGGCATTTTACCTCTGTGTAGTGTGTTTTAACTTGCAGTCACCCTTCGGGCGAGGGTTAGCAAATAAATTTTATATGTAAACACGAACGTACTTTCCTGTACTTGGACGTCCTACAAATTGTCCCCACATACAGACAGAAAGTTTCCCTCCCTCGTTATCTGGCTGTAGCTAACTACCCGAGAAAACTTTGAAAAGTGTGTTTAAGTGTTGCAAACAATTGCAAATAAACTTTATGTGCAAACACAAACGTACTTTCCTGTGCTTTAATAGACGTCCAACAAACTGCTTCTGTATCTGTATCGATATAGCCGGTATAACCGCCTTTCGGCGTAACACACCAGCTTCGCAGGCACGCGGCGCGGCGGCAGCTGGCTACATTACACCGATCGACTTGTTACACCTAACCCTTGAACATCTAACTCTAGACTTTAAAATTTGTTTAAAGCTATCTAATGACAATGCCCCTACTGTACTTGGTGACAGCGAGTTCCACTCTGCGATAGTTCTAGGAAAGAATGAATTCTTAAATGCGTCAATCCTTGGTTGATAACTCTGGTACTTGAAGGCATGCACACAGAGAGAAATTTTCCATCGGCCTTTCTCACTATCTCAGTATCTGGCGGGGTACAGAGCTGTGGCTAACTACCCGAGAAAACTTTGAAAAGTGTGTTTAAGTGTTGCAAACAATTGCAAATAAACTTTATATGCAAACACAAACGTACTTTCCTGTGCTTTAATAGACGTCCAACAAACTGCTTCTACACACAGAGAGAAATTTTCCATCGGCCCTCCTCGCTATCTCAGTATCAGGCGGGGTACAGAGCTGTAGCTAACTACCCGAGAAAACTTTGAAAAGTGCCGCCTCGGGGGTTCGTTTACTTGTTGGTGTTGGACATTTTCCACCTGGATTTGGGGCCGAAGGAGCCATCTCCTACCTGTGGTCTCTGTAAACCTCGTACCACGGGCAGACCTAGCGGGTAGGACTTAACCCTCCCGTCTGCTCCGATGTGTCCGCTTGTGTCTGGTCCTTCCGTGGACGAAGTGTCGCCCCGTCTCGGTCAGGTTTCAGTCGGACAGGTCTCGGGAAATGTATCCTCTAGCCGGAGCCCCTGGCGCAGTGACCCAAGCGAGCCCTCTTTGATGGAAAGGGAGGTAACGAAAGTAGGTGTTTATTTAATCTTCCAGGGAGCCGCTGCTTCAGAAAACATGGAAGTAAACGTGAGACGCGATCGTCTTACCCAAGGCCAATGACAAGTCCGGGCGAAGATTTTTTTTTTCTCTTTTCTTTCTTATTTTTTTCTTCGTCGTGCGGGGTTGAGTAAGGGCACGGCCACAGCACGACGTTTGGACGCGGTGTCTCTCTCTACGTTGCTGCACCCCCGGTCCTGACCATGCGATGACCACATCCACACACACCCCACCCTCCCCTTACCAGAGGAAGCGTTGAATTTGCAGTGGAGTCTCGGCGTCTCCGAAGGGGGAAAGTTGTCGTGTTTGTCTAGTAAATCAATCTCACATGAGCTGTTTGCGCGACGGTAGCGACGGAGGAGCAGAGGAGTTTTCCAGCCGCGGCGAAACAGAAACGGACCCGGCAATAAAAACCTCGGAGCAACACGCGACGAACACCAACAGGTACTCCTGAGTCCCGGCGGACCCAAAAACTGGTCCTGGGTGCCATAAACGGTCAGTAGGGACCAACCTACTGGTCATCCGGACTAAAGTTAGAGCGGCCCGAGCTATATATAGTCCTCGGACAGGGATACCTACACTAGTAGTGGCGGAGCTACTAAAAAGATTGAACGGATTTTTTCTCATGGAAACTTAAGGCAAGTCAAGGTAAGACCTATCACCATCTTTCAAACATGTATATAACATGCTAGACCGCATAGACAGGACATGTGTTTTTAAAAACAGCGCAGAAATACCAGTACGGCGGCGTCTGAAGGGGACGCACTTTACACCACAGACGACATGAAACATGGCGTCATTGCCTGACGTGTGGGTATATAGAGTAGTGGATCTCATAATTCCATAGCGGTATCATATCATACCACCACTATGGCGGTACCATTTATATATATAACATTGCCTTTCTACATCACACATATACATACAGAGTATTGCTGCGCGCTGCCCCATGTTTAAACACTAGAACCGTCGGATTGTTGACCCATCTAATTTGAACTATTTTGACTTTTGTGGTCCGCGATGTTTGTAGAGCTGCGGGGGTTGCCAGCTCCTGCCCCGCTCCCTGTCGGGAACTATGTGGCGGCTGGCTGCGAGCGGGATGACCTCGCCAGCGCCGCGCGGGCAGTTCAAAGATGGCGACTGTGACACAGAAACTGTTATTCTAGACTATAGCCTCTACCAGGCACCGCGGATCGCTGGAAAAATAATAGAAATTGGCCGAAACGATGGGATAGTATACATGTGGAGTCGCATATTTGGATCCTCTCTGGCCGGCTAACTCCCCTGGCATACTATCCCTTCATTTCGGCCAATTTTCCACCGATCCGCGGTGCCTGGTAGAGGCTATCCATTGCCCACTCCTAGCCTCTACCAGGCACCGCGGATCGCTGGAAAAATAGTAGAAATTGGCCGAAATAAAGGGATACTAGTAGTATACCAGAGAAGATCCGGCCACCAGAGTGAAGATCCAATTTGCGACCCACGGGTCTTATTCGGCCAATTTCTACTATTTTTCCGGCGATCCGCGGTGGTGCCTGGTAGAGGCCAGTTATTCTACGCTAGGCCGCTCCAAAGACGCATGTTGCGCGCCGCTATGTGAGGAAAATTAGACAGTACCGGTAAATACACAGGCGGATTTCCCTGTCTCCCGTTAGATTTATGCCATTAAGTGATCAAATGGAAGTTTCTATGCAACTGAATCATTGCATTAATTCCAAATTCTTTTTCAGTGAGCAAAAAAAGCCTGTCTATTTTGCTTGAAAACATGATTTGAATCCGGAAGTTCGTGAAAACATGATTCAAGTCCAGAATTTCGATACAACACAAAAAAATTGCGACGTTGCCGAATTTTTAGTCATCCTTATTTACGGAAGGACTAGCTAAGAAAGAGGTGGAACATTTTTGCCGCGCCACAAAAACTAATTTTCGTTCTACCAACTATTCCAAAGCGAGACGCGTTAAACTTCGATATTGTCTGAGATAAACCACATGTGTAGTGCTGTAGTTTTCTGTGGGATAAGTTTAATTTTGACCAGAAAATAGCTTCTGAGTCTAACGAGGATGATAAGCGTTGTGGGAACATCAGAATTATTTCAAATACTTAGATATAACTACGTTTAATTTGGGTGAACAACTTGGTTGGAACTGGTTGTACTATATTAGCTTTATAACTTTCATTGCATAACAATTGTACAGGGTACAGCGTATGGCATCTACCAGTACGTAAGTACAGTTCCATAGGGTTAACCTACCTAATGCAAGACTGTGGGGCTAGTGTATGTAGGATGAAAATGACCTGTTACAGTCATTGGAGGAATTTCTGACGCGTATACTTTCTTTAATACAAAGCGTGTGTCGTACAAAAATCAGCTGTCTTGCTTTGGCTATCTTAGATCATCAAGTTGTCGGTTCTGTCATGGCCTGCTTGGAAATTAAGCTCTACTTTTTTCACGGTGTAACCATGTCAAGTGGCGACGTTGATGTAAACTATTTCAGTGTGTCGCCACTATGTATTGTTCTGTTGAAATGTTCAAATAAGAAATAATTAGGCGACATCAACATGATACGACGGCCTACTATACGTCAGATGTGACCGCGTTATAAACCATGGAAAGACCAAACTGATTCAGCTGAAAACCCACAAATTACAGCAAAAGTGGGATCTTTTGTCTTCCTCTGTCTTCAAAAAAGAAGTCAAACCCAGTAGTTTTTCACTAGTAGTTTCTTAGTAGTTATCAGTAGTTCTATGTGTACTCATTGTTTTTTATACCAAATGTTTCTTCTGTTCCTGCAATTAGCCATCGGGCATGAATTTGCAATAAAACAAAACATTATCACTGATTTGGGGTTTAAAAAACGAGCAATGGCGTGACTTTCAAGACGAAAATCGTCCATGCAAAACCGAAAGCTGGAAGACTTCTTTCATTTCTCCGTATTGGAAGCTTGAGCCAATTAGTTGAGGGCGAGACCAGCCGAGTTGTTTGTTTCTCCTCAAAGCCCGAAGTGTCAAATAGAAATGTCTCCAATGACGTCATAGACCGCATCTATACGTCACGGAGGAAAAATGAACAGAAATATTCAGAACTGCGACATATAAATGTCTTGAATTACGTCACTGACCGCATCAGAGGGAAAAGGAAGAAACGTCTTTAAATTGAGAACTGTCAAGTATAAATGTTTTGAAATACGATCAGCAAAAAACTGCGCAGATGGTAAAATAAGAAAAAAATCTCGAAACAGAGAACTGCCGAGTATAAAGGTCTTCAAATTCAAGTTCAGGCACATTTTCATGAGAGGGAAAATAATCAAGAAAATCTCGAAATTCGGGGCTTGGGGGATAAATCCCATCGTTACTTTAAACCCAGCAAGCTACGAGTATTTGACGAGCTGGAGGAGTAGTATAAAGTCCTTTTTAATGTAAGGATATTTACGAAATTTATCAAGTCTATAATTTCGTGAACTGTCACACATCAATGAATTCAAATCTAAACAAACGGTCACAATGGGAATGTTTTGCCAGAACGCTCCTAGCCATGACAGCTGGAATAATCTAGTATTTTAATTAAATGCAGGGATGTTTACAAAAACAATGATGTGGTTTTGGTTGCCTCCAAACTACATAATGGTTGCCTCCTCCCTCTATTGTATTAAAATGAACTTTATCATTTACTTTCATCATGTAAAGGTACATACATGACCATAATGACTTTATTGCTCTAAGATTACATATAACGTATGATAATTTGAGAGAACTAATTTACTCTACAAAAGGCTATGAGTATAGTATATGAGTATAGGATGACGCTACATACTGGTATATAACCGAAAATTCTTGTGTATAACGATCATCATCATCATCATATCATCATCATGCCTCCGGATCATGAATCCGGTGAGGTACACTTGATAAAGTTACTCCAGTATGTCCTATCCCTCATAGCGCACTAATGCAGTCCCTGCGAGACCAGTGTCTCTCTCTAATATTGACAAAAGTGTAGTATAAGGCCGTCCCACTATACGTCTCCCAGTAGGAAGCCACGGTATAACGATAATAAGTTTTAAGTTCGCTTGGTATGGGCTACGTTGTAATTACGTGAGGGTTGTGTGTTGTTGTTGTCATCATAGGACTACGTAGGCGTGTAGCGTTGTAGCAATACTTTCTAAAGACTGGGGGTTTGGGGGGTCTTCAGGGTCTTTGGGATCTTTTATGTGCTATTTTTCTGTGGCGACTGTAGGTTGGTACCCAGGCTACCAAAAATAAGCCCAAACCCAAACCTCTGCTTGGAGCTTGGAGAGTAGTATCGGGTTGTTCCTCCCCGCACGGTGGAATGTTTGTCCGTCGGCGCGAGTCAGACGCTCAGTCCGTGTTTGTAGTTTGCTGGGATCAGCCTTAGCGAGGATTTCTGAGATCTGCTCGACTGGCAACCGGCGGCGACGGTTCAACATAGCCTCTACCAGGCTCTGAATCTAGCCTCTACCAGGCTCTGAATCTAGACTCTACCAGGCTCTGAATCTAGCCTCTACCAGGCTCTGAATCTAGACTCTACCAGGCTCTGAATCTAGACTCTACCAGGCTCTGAATCTAGCCTCTACCAGGCTCTGAATCTAGACTCTACCAGGCTCTGAATCTAGACTCTACCAGGCTCTGAATCTAGCCTCTACCAGGCTTCGGGAAGCGACTGGAAAGAGTAAAAATTGGACAAATAGACAGAGAAAACATGCCAGGCAACCTGTGTTCTCTATATATGATCTAGCGGACCAACTCCCCTGGCATGTTATATGTCTATTTGGCCAATTGTCAGCCGCTTCCCGAAGCCTGATAGAGGCTAGGTTCCGAGTAAAGACACAAAAACCGGTTGTTCTTTTTTAAGTTCTTGTAGTAGAAGCACAAGGCAGATCCAAGTGTATGTGGCATTCACACTTCATGTGGTCGTATCGTGTGGTAAAGGCATCGAATGGGCGGCAATGCAAAAATAAAATATATCTATAGTATGCTAAAATATATCTATAGTAAAACTACATATGTACAGGTTCTGCTTCTTCTCGCTTTTTAAGACAGTTGTAAATGTAAGAACAGATGGCGTTTATAGTACGAGGATTATCGAGTTTCATGAGGAAAGTGAATTTTTCCTTTCTATCTAAAATAATCTAGCCTCTACCAAACTCTCTAGCCGCTTCCCGAAGCCTGGCAGAGGCTACCTTGAACCACTCTCCTAGCCGCTTCCTGAAGCCTGATAGAGGCTACCTTGAACCACTCTCCTAGCCGCTTCCCAAAGCCTGGTAGAGGCTACCTTGAACCACTCTCCTATCCGCTTCCCGAAGCCTGGTAGAGGCTACCTTGAACCACTCTCCTAGCCGCTTCCCGAAGCCTGGCAGAGGCTACCTTGAACCACTCTCTGGCCGCTTCCCGAAGCCTGGTAGACATGGTAGAGGCTACCTTGAACCTGTGAAAAGTCGCCCCCTGTAGCGCCCTCGTTTTCTAGCCTACCCCATAATAGCTAGCGTAGTAGTAGAAGTAGAAGTTTTTTCCAGACAGTTGTTACCTGTCTCCTGTTACTGTATTGCAACGAGTATTATACTTGATTGTGCAAGCAATTAGCCTTCGGGCATGATTTTGCAAATAAAGTTTCTTAAAGTTATCAGGCCAG